TTTCAGATTCCCAATGCATGGGAAACACGCATAACATCGTTTCACCTACAAATTTACTATATTCGAAGATGCATTTAATGTTCGTTTAAAACCATCTATCTTCCTACTCTATATATAATGATACTTTCGAATAAATCGTGAAATCATTCCAAAGGAATGTCTTCTCAAGAGGCGGTGTCTTCTCAAACGGCAACAAGCCCACTAGCAATATAGTCTTCTTCAGTGGGAGAAAAATCTCATGGACCCCACGGTGCATAGATTAAAATAAGTGGAGGAGGAAATTGGGTGACTATAGAGAAACTTCGTACTATCTGACATGAACTCACTAACACAATATTTTTATTAATGGGAGAACAAATCGTTTCTTTAATGGAAAAATGGGTTTACGACGAGTGCACCCTTGTACAACGATGTGATATGGAGAACAGACAACTCGCAGATAAAGTCGTTGAGTTGGAGGCGCGTTTGAAAAGCTTGGGTGGGTAGTGTCTGCTATCTCCGTTTGTTTATTTCTAACAAATTTTGTATTCCTCATCTTTCATCCTATTGTAATGTTCTATTTGAAATACAATAATATTCAAGTAATGTCTCGCTCTCGTTCTCGTTCGATCTAGATCTCGTTCTCTCTCTCATGATTTGTCATTTGCACTCCCCATTTAATCATAAATAAATAATAAAATAAAAAAATGTATATATATATACAAATAAAAAATAAAAGTTTTTGTTCTTGCTCTCACGGTGACCCTTGCGCTTCCCATGCACTCTTTCATTCATTGTTGCCTTAGCCATGTGTTTTTTTTTTCCAACCACTTTCAAATATCTCTATTCTATGTATTTTGTCCCGTCTATTTTTTTTTCACATAACCAGTGTATTCCACACTTCTTATAATTGCAGTGCAGTTTTTCAAAGTATCTTCTATAATATTGTTGCCCTAGTCATCACATTTTCATTTTCACTCCATTATCAATCTTTTATTAATTCAATTGGACCCCTCCACCATCCTCGGGTCTGAGTTTGGTTGAGGTTGAATCCACTTTTATTCTTTCTCTTTTCTAACTTAGTCTAAGTCTAAAAATTCTAGGGGGGAGGGGATTAGTGTATACGTACTACATTCTGTTCGCACAAAATATATGGTTTGATAATCGTTCAACAAAATACAATAACTAAATATAAAAAAATACACCTCTCTGTATAAAGTCTCACTCTCGGTCTAGCTCTCGGTCTCTTTACTGTTCTGTTTTGCTCTTGCTCTCTATCTTGCCCTAGCTCTCGCTCTCGCTTTCTTTCTTGCTCTTCGTAAAGCTTCCTCACTATGTAAGTGTCTGCTCTCGCTCTGAACCCTAAAGCATTGTTGTCGTCCTTCTCAGTAAAATGCTCAGTATATCAATGAGTTATGAAGAACAATGAAGAACTTAATCTGAAACCAGACAATAATAGTAATTACTCAAGATAACGGAAATCGAACCCATGAGAACTCGTAAGATGTTTATTGAAAATAAATGACAGTATTTATTGTAGATAATGGAAATCGAACACATGAATAATGGGAAAATACTATGAAAATCAAATAGGCACGGCGAAACAAACGTACATCTGGAAAACGAGAGAAGACAATGGTACACCGAGAAATCGGGGGATATGGATATGAGACAAAAAGAGAGAAGACGAGGAAGAAGTCAACAAAAATTCAAATGAAAAAACAAGAGGGAAACTATTAGTTTTACCCACGTTAGTGGAGGGGCAGAGAGAGTAATTTGGCAAGGAGGGTGATGTCAGCAAGTGGTTAGAAAACCTAAGTTTTCAAGATATGGATATATATCAAAGTGGGCCTGAGAAAATGGTTAATCAACGAAAAAACCCCTTAATAGCCCTTTTACCAAGACAGTATTGTTTTTTACTAACTTTTTTTCGAAACCTATGTTTTCTAATCTTTGCTGACATCACCCTGGATACCAAATTACTTTCACTACCCCTTCACTCATTTTTTAGATTTTTCTCTCTTATTCTCTGTGTTTATCTCCTTCTTTCTTTTTCCATAATATTTTTCCCTCTCTCTTTTTCCAGATTTTTTTTCCTCTCATTTTCCATTAACATATTCTTTCTTTGTTTTCTCTTCCTTCTTTTCTTCTTTTTTTTCATTCTTTTCTTTTTATCTTTTCTGCAATACTATGGGTATTTTTCTCTCATTCTCTCTAAAATTTTCTTTGAGTTTCTTTTTTCCTTTTTATTTTTTTTTTTACCAGCAACCACCATAATTTCGGTGACATTCAATTGTCACCGATGCGTGCATCAAAGTCGACGAGAGAGAAGGGAGAAGAGAGCAGAGAGAAGAGAGAGAGGGACAAAGCAAGAGGAAGAGAGCGAGAGAGAGCGAGAGGAAAAGAACGAGAGGGAGCGAGAGAGAGCGAGAGGAAGGGAACGAGAGGAGCGAGAGGAAAAGAACGAGAGGGAGCGAGAGGGAGCGAGAGAGAGCGAGAGGAGCGAGAGGAAGAGAACGAGAGGGATAGAGAGAGGAAGAGAACGAGAGAGAGATCGAGAGATTTATTTCCTATTTTAAGTGATTAGTTCAAATAATTAAGGAAAAGAAAAAAATCTTAAACAAAATTAGATTAAATTTCAAATTTGAATACGAATAAGGAGATTGATGAGAGATTGAAATTATGTTTTCTTAATTCCAATTTTCGAATTTTTAATTAAAAAAATTTTTAATCTCTAAATGATTGGTTAATAACTTTGAATTTGAATTTTACCAATTGATTTATTTACTTAGTTCTATTCATTTAATCTTGTCTATAATTTCATTTAAATGAATCAAGTGTTATTTGTTATGGGTGAACCCCGAGCAGGATACGCGTCCGCTCCTTTACAGGCCGATGACCACTGACCGTCACCTTTCAAAGGCAGGCATTGCCGAGCAAGACACATGTCCGCTTTAGGGGGAACGGGAGACCACATGTAGTTACGCCCCATACAAAGTTGTAGCTAAAAACAGATGTTGTCGGTATAACGGGCACATTCTACAATCGCGAGCGACATGCCCAGAGCCACTTTGCACCTGCTGGAAGCGCATTCCCTTCTGACCAAACGTACAACACTTGGCGTCCCCATTTTGTATCATATCTAAGGGATTCTTGGGTTCGGGCCGAAGAAGCAATGTCACTAGATCATTATCAAATCGACTGAAATCTTTTTCTGTCCGTGAGGATCCTAACATAATTATGAATTGCTTTAAAAAGTTGATTCAAAACGCTGCCACCTCTAACTGTCATCCTTTCTAGTCGGCCTAAAAGGCTATAAAAGGAGGGACCTTCATCTTCACCAAGTAAGTGAAAAACCTGTCACTAATACCTTTGGTGTCTTATTCCTATTTCCATTCCAATTACTGACTTGATCGTCAGAGTGTTTTGGATAGGACACCGCACCGGCGTCGAATATTTTGGTTTCAGATCCATTGGGTTTCAAGCCGAACTGCTCGTCCGTGTACCACGTGGCCCTCTACCGAAATTCGCCGTCAACATTATTATTATTACTATTATTATTTAGATAAACAACATTTTATTTCAAAATATTAGAAGTTATTCACTTTATAAATGGATAAACATTCCTTCAAAATTAATTCAATAATTTAAGAATTTTATTCATTTTATAAATAGATTTTTAAGAAATTAAATTATTTGACCAAATAAATTTGGTTATTGAAATTTAATCCAAATCTGTTTAAATTTTTTTTCTTTTCCTTAATTATTTGAACTAGTTACTTAAAATAGGAAATAAATCTCTCGATCTCTCCCCCCCTCTGGTTCTCTTCCTCTTCATCTCTCTCTACCTCTTGTTCTCTTCCTCTTGCTCCCTCTCTCCCCCTCTGGTTCCCTCTCTCCCTCCTTCCCTCTCTCTCCTCTCTCTTCTCACCTCTCTTCTCTCTTCTCTCTTCTCTCTTCTTATTTCGATAGATTATCTCCTTCCCTATTCCTTTCCTAAGCCTTCTTCTCCAGCAAATGACCTCTCTCATCGGTTTTGATGCACGCGTCGACGACTACTGAATGTCACCGGAATTATGGAGGCTGCTGCTTACAAAAAAAATATACTCATAGTGTTATAGAAGACAGAAAAAGAGAAGAATGAAAAACCAGAAAAAAAAAAAGAGAAAACAAAGAAGGAATGGGTTAAATAGAAAATGAGAGAGAAAAAAAATCTCTAAAAAGAGGGGGAGAGAAAGAGATAATAAGAGAGAGAAATCTAAAAAATGAGTAGAGAGATAGTGAAAGTAATTTGATATGTAGGATGATGGGATTAGAAAACATAAATTTTGAAAAAAAAAATGGGTAAAAAACAATACTATCTTGGTAGAAGGGCTATTCAGTGCAAAAACTCTTTTATTATACCTAAAACTCTAACACAATCTAAAAATACCAATTTCCATATAAACTAGATAACATGTTACATATTTAATATTACAATCGCTAGTATCATAATAAACGATTTGTGAAGGTTAACAAAACTATAAGGATCAAAACGTCAATTTAACTCCTTTTTTTAAAATTCGCTCAACAAAATATTTTATTGAAAAATTAGTCAAAATTCTAGATATCTTCAATTGAAAACAGTTGTGGCCACACAATGCCAAAAGAAAAGCAACCCACCTTTCTTTGTTTCTTGAAAACATATTTTCAATTTACTATTGATGAAAAGCAAGACCTTCTTTTTGGGTATTGTCATCTTCCACTACCAACACCTTCCTTTTCCTTAACTTTCCATGTATTAATAATTGAGTAATTTTGACCAAAAGGGCTGAAATCACTTTCATAGAATAAACTCACTCTGTAAATGCTAACAAAACTTTCCAACATTGCTTTTCAAGACACTAACCATTATCTAATTCCAACTTGCTTTTATCACTTCTCCACCCCCAAGGGAAAAAAAAAATACATCATTTCACAATACCCATCCATCTCTTTTCAATGGCCCCACACCCACCACTGTCAAGTAAAGAAAAAGAAAAGAAAAAAAAAAGTGGAAGATTTTCATTTTCCATCACAAAATATTTACCCTTGATACAACAAGAGAGACATCAATTGAGCTTTTGAAAAACACTATCCTCAAACTTGACCTTGGCAAAGAAGAAGCACATCAAGTACTACTTTCAAGCTTTTTTTTCTTTTTAAAGCTCGACAATGACCGCTCATTTCAAAAATCGAAAGTAAGACCAAACAGTTGCATTGACTTGAATGCCTCTTCGAATCAGGAGTTAGGAAAAATTAGATTACATTACGGTGATATTCGTAAATAAGGACAGATAGAGACAGTTAACCAACTTTGAGAGGAAATGCACGGTTGATCCCGAGATGGGCAGGCACGAGAAACTTGAAATGTCATCGGTTGGTGGTCCTAAGGAGTGTTCATTTCAGGCTTCACTATCATGGGTGGATCCCCTTGGTGTGTCCTGAAAATTGCAGAGGCTAATGAGATGGGCATGATGCATAGAGCTTTAGACTGAAGGAATTGCATGGCAGCTCCCACATCTTCTTCCATCAATTTTGCTACTTGTTGCTCTGTCCCATCACTTGACCACTTTTCCCATGCTTGCTGATTGCTGGCACTCTCAATGCCCTCTCCCTAAAAATATACAAAAAAAAAAAAAACCCCCAACTATGATGAGAAACGTAAAAGTATGCATACGATCCTAACTTATCAACTTAAGTAAAGCAGTGAGAAACGACCAAAAAAAATCCAACTATGATGAGAAACGTAAAAGTATGCATAAACAATGCAGTAAGAAACGTTTATGTGTTTAAGCTCCTATAATGTCATTTCAAAAGTAACTTGCTCGGTCTTATACTAATTTCTAAGCCTGAAAGTACACTCGCACTGAGTAATGAGTAATATGTATAGATAATTAATAGCGTGAGTTTGAGATGACTTTGATTAAAGTACTTTAAAAATGAATATGAGATTGAGAAAAAAGTTGTGTAAAGTTCATAATATGATATATCTAAAGGAACTACTAGTAAATAAATATGAAGCTTTGTACCTCAACTGATGATAGGGGTACGTCGGCCACAAGTTGAGCCACCGCACCTGCCCCGCCTAGTCTGCTCATGCTTAAAACCTATGAAAAATAATACATAGATTAAAACTAGATTAGAGATGTTAGGAAATGAATTAATCAATATGGAAACTTGGATCAATAATTTCAGCTGAATGACAAAAAATCTAGTTTAGAAGTTGTAAAATTCTACTAAATCAAAAACTTTTGTGGGATTTTAAATTTAGTACCTTAACTTGAAGCCTAAGAAACTTTACATAATCCACAATTTCATCCAGCATTGCCGCTCTATCAGACTGCAAAAATTAATGAATCTGAGTGAGAATTCATATGAAGTTCATCAATAAACAAAATTCAGGTATTTGAGGAGAATTAACCTTATTGCAGCTAGGAACCAACTCTTGCAAGGCCTTCATTCTTTCTGCGATTCTTTCCCGACGCAACTGCAATCATCGCAAACGAACACTTCTAATACTCGTATAGAAATAGAATAAAAAACTTGGAAACACTATTTTCCACTTATGTATTTCTTTGTTTTGTTATCTATTTTTTGAAAACGTTTCCAAAATCAAAGTCAAATTTTGAAAAGAAAATAGTTCTTAAAAACTTATTTTCATTTTTTTAATGTGGCTAGGAATACAAATTTTGTTTTTGAGAAGGGTAAAAACCATGACAAAAATATTGTGAAAAATCAAGTGTAATTTTTAAAATTAAAAAAAAAAAGCGATTTAAGCATAATACTCCTAATAAGCACAAGTGATAAAATCACTCTTCAGATATGTGCATCATAAGCTAGAAAATTCTAACTTAAAAGTCACTTTCCTAATAAAAGCATGAAGATTTCGGCTAAAAGAATTATGGGGCTTCAGCAACGCTTTCTTTTCGTCACTATTGACTTTCAGCGATAAAAATGATTTCGATGCAATGACGATCACAGAAACACAGTCAGCCATATAGCTTGGGCGATTACTAGTACTCTTAGCAACAAAATTCAGCATTCCTAGCTAGTAGTAAATAAGCAAAAAGATTTTATATAAACAAGAAATTCTCCAACTGACACAGCTTCAATCAATGAACTAGACACTAATCTAACTTCATTTCTATCAGCATTCTTAGAATCCAAAGATGAGATACATTACCCTTTCTGCAATACTGTGAGGATCAGTCGCTTGCCCTCGTCTTGCTCGAACTCTTGGACGGACTTGAGGCGGTTGCGGTACAGCAACAACGGTCCCGGGAGTCATCTGGTTGTGGAAGGGCTGCACATGAATACAATCCAAAGAAGATGAAAAAAAAAAAAAAAAATCATCCTACGTCAAAGCTAGACAAAGGAAAGTAAAAAATTAATTCAACCTATAAGAAACTCTCTATTTCAACAAAGGTAACAAAATAAGCCTTTGGAAGAATAAGCAAATACTTACGAAAAAAGGAAGAATAATAATAAAAACGGTGCTCATATAAAATAAAATTGAACCATATTCAGATTCACCTACTTTTCAACCTGATTATTCACGTAATTTTTCTTTCTAAATATTTTTTCGAATTTAATTATATATAAAAAAAACATATTGAATAAATTACACATTGAAGTGGGAATTTTCTAAGTAACACATTTTTGAAGTATTCCACATAAACAATCGAGAGAGAAATGCTCATTTGTTTATAATATATACATTGGCATCTAGCTAAAGATGGCTAGAAAATACAAGGTTCCAAAAACAAACATCCAATAATGGGGCATAAATTAAAATATTTTATTTTATAATAAAATAAATCAAAACTAAAGCCACTATAGTATACATTATTGCTCCACCGACCACATTCACATTTCTAGACCAATGAATAAAAAATTTGTTGGTGCCAAAATGTTTTTAGAATAAAAATTAATATTAGTTTCTTTTAGAAAACACTAGCATAGAAAAAATTAATTTTTGTCTAAAAACAACATTTAATATAAATGAATAAAACTTCGGGTTCCTGCTCTCGGCCAGTAAAATCCGGCCGCGTGTACCTGAAAAAGCGTGTTAAACACGCTCCTCAAGTAATGACGTAAGCGAGCGGTCATGCTTGGGAAATCTAGCAGCGTACTTTACTTTAAAATCCAACGGCGCGGATTACTTGCACGTGCGAAGGCACTCACACACGTGAATGAGATGTCTTATTTGTCTCACTCAATAATTGATAAAGGAAACTCCACTCAAAATCAGACACGTGCAATACACTAAAGCAAGCATGGAAATTTAGCGTCTGTTTGGAAAGAAATATAACATTGGGAGTGTTTGGCTTGAAGAATAATAATAAAAAGAAAATTGGTCGTAATACAGAAAACGCGTTTTTGTACTTGCTTTGAAATTTAGGACTAGGCATCCATGTGAAATTTAAATTTCATTAAAATACTATTTAGTATCTATAATTTTAATATGTTCATTTTCGTAATTTTAATTTATTTTAGTCTATATATTTTTAAAATGTAATTTTTATTTTTGTATTTTAAAAATGACAATTTTAGTTCCTATCATTTTTTTATCTTATTTTTTATATTACAATTTCAACACAATACTATGTTCAATATATTTCTTAAAATATAATCATTGTTTTATATTAAAGAGTTTTCGTTTGGTGTAAAATTTGTACAAATTTTACAAATAGAGATCAAAATGATAACTTTTTAAAAGTACAGGATCAAAACGAACATTTTGAGGATTAAAATGAACCAAAATTAAAAGCACAGGTATCCAAAGAAATATTTTAAAATTTCACGAACTAAAACGAACTAAAATGAACTAAAACTAGAAATACTGGTACAAAGATAATATTTTAACTATTTAATTTGGTTTTGAAAAGGAACCGTTTACATTATTTAAAATTCTACATATTCCGCAGAAAATATAGTTATTTGACTTATACTGGCATTTTTTATTAACAAAATTGACTTGTATGTGCAATTAATATCTTTCATCTAATCTACGTATACCCTTTGCAAAATAAAAAGGGAAGTGCTTTTAGACGACGAAGACAGACAAATTGCAAAAATTTTTCAAAGATCAGAAGGTTTGAGAATCAACCACATGAAATGGTTCGTTGGTTTAAAGGAGTCAACATAAATCAAAAAAATTTAAGGGGATAAATCGGTCAAGCCCACAAAAATAGAGGGAAGCAAATTTTGAATTGGAAATTTTAAATCATCCGGGTTATTTTTTTTTTCTTGTTAAAGATTATAGCGCCGACCTAGGATTTGGAAGATATGTTACAATGCCTTAACTGTTATAATCAAATTAGTCCTTACCTTTTTCTTAGTATAAGAAAACGAGTACGGATCAAACTCACAAACTTTTTATTAGAGATATATGTCACTTATTGTTGAGCTATACTAACTTTGACGGTATATATATATATATATATATATATACATATATATACATAACTTAGTGGTAATTGACATATATCTCTAATTACGAGATTGTGAATTCGATCTCCACCCCACATGTTCTACTAGAAAATATACATAGTAATATAGATTTTTGGAGGCTTCTTGAATTGTTGTTTTACAATCCCATTCTAAATTTTATAAATTAGGGATTTTTTTTAAATGTGTTTTAATTAGAATACCTCTAGCACTGGTCCTCGAACGTTCAATATTAGTTTAAAGAAATTCTTTATTAAATTCTAAAACAAATATTGATAGTTAAAACTTACTATTTGAAAATTTGAAATATAACCACAATTTCAGAAACCTTTTCAGATAAATTAAAGAGAAAATTACAAATATAACACAAAAAAATGTATTTTTTTATATATATAGCATTAGATTTAAAATTTTAAAAGTGACATAAATTACAAACTTATACAATTAAGACCAGTTAAAAATAATTTTTGTGACATTTAAAAAATAAATAATGATATTTTTAAAATTAATATTTATATTACACTATTTAGTGTAATGTTAAAACAGCTAATTTTTAAAAATAAAATTTAAATTAAATTAAATCATTAAACATCTTAATTGTGAAATTGACATACTACTTGTTTAGGCAGCCTTTATTCCAAAACTAGGTGAGAGCTGAAGGGGTAAAATCGTAAAATTACCTGGTGGAGATGTAGCGGCGGCGGCGGTGGCCGGAGAGCTTGAGTCTGCAAGTGTCCAAAGGTCGGAAACAGGCTTGTCATGTGGTGCACCGAAGAATCTCTCTCCTGCAGCACAGAAACAGCGTGAAATGACCGAATTGCCCTTTAGAATCATGCCAAAAGAAATCAAAAAATACATATTTGTGTGTTTGTGTCAGGAAGGGAATAAAATTTTCTGGCATTCCAATATTCTCTAGCTGAAGTAGACTGCTCCTAACTCCCAAGAACAAACAATTTCAATCATAACTTTTCAAAATTTACACACAAAAAAAGAAAAGAAAAGAGGAGTCTAGGATGGGATTCTGCTAAAACACAAGAGACTTAACGAGAAATAAGAAAAAAAGATATTGGGATTCTGAGGCAAGGCTGCATTCTATTCTTTAGGAAAATTTTTACGAATATTGATACCATATCAGAGTCTAACAAATTCAAATAACGGAACAATGAGGGGAAATTCAACTTGCCCAAAATGGCAAGATGTAGGCTGTTACAATAATCCGACTTTTGAGGGTCAAAATCACTCTCAGCTACAACAGTGAACCCAACAGAAAAAAAGAATTTAATTACCCAATTGAAGGAGAAGGAGAGAGAAAATGAAGTTAAAAACGCAGCTAGAGAGAGAGGGAGAAGATTTACAGTGATTCCTGAAGAGGCAGTGGAGGAAGAAGAAGCATTATTATTATTATTTTGGGCATCAAGCTCTTCTCTGAACCTCTCCTGCCTCAAAAAGCCTTGCTCCAAATTCAGCCCCAACGGCATCGCCATCCCTCCGCCGCCGGACCCGAGTTGCAGCCCCATCGGCATGGTCATGGCCACCACATCGCCGCCGTAAGCCGGCGGCACCGCCAGAATCTGCTCGAAGAAATCATCCCCCAACCCCTCAGAGGGGATCCCCGCCATGATTATAACACTTCCACCAAAATCAAAATGAACAACAAAATCTAACTTAAAACCAAAAAGAAAAAAAAAAGGATGTTTTTTTGGGGAAGCCCAAAAGAAGGGAGGTGTCGTAGAAATGGGTGGCAGATCCGAAATCCGATAACCCGGAAACGATTTTGAACTGCGAGCAATTCAATAACCTCTCTGCAAAAACCTTCTCTCTCTCTCTCCTCTCTCTTTTTTTTCCTTTTTTTGGTCTCAGCTTTTTAGCTCCGACTTTATATGGCTTTGTGAAAGGGTTTGAAATGAAAGGAGCACAGGGAAAAGGCACTTACATTTTTTTTTCCTTTTTTTTTTCTTTTGCTCTTTTAGAAAACTTGATTACTTTCTGATTACTATTCCTAATCCAAGGGTCGTCCCTATTATTTTAAACTAAAACAATTAGTTTAATAAATAAATGAGATTCAATTCACCCTTTTCTACCCCTTCTTCTTTTAGGTTCATTTTCGTGTATGTATCTTTTAACTTTTATTCATTTTAGTCTTTATACTTTAAAAATGTTCGTTTCGATAAATGTACTTTTAAAAGATGACCACGTAATAGAAACCGTTTAATATAAAATTATATTTACATTTTAAGAAATATATTGCGAGTGTAATCTGGTGTTAAAATTGTGATAGAAAAAATCAGAGTGAAAATAAAATTAAGGGACTAAAATGGAAAGTTTTTAAAAAGACCAAAACAAATATTTTAAAAGTACCACGATTAAAATGAACCGAAGTTGGAAGTTTACAGGACCAAAATGAACACTTTAAAAATATAAGAACCAAAATGATAAAACACTGTACAAAGACCAAAATAGTGTTCTAACCTTATTATTTTTAGATTAAATATATTTTTGTTTATTAAAGTTCTGGAATAGAGAAATATACTTTAATCCAAGCTTAAACAACTTTTAGGTATAAAATTTATTTCTTTAATTTTCCATATTTATTCCATTTTACTCCTGAAATATTATGTCTTGGTCCTAAACTTCAGATAAAAAAATTATTTTAGTCTTTATGATTTATTTTTCTAAAAAAATATTTAATAGAAAGTTGGTATAGACACATCTTTTATCCCATTTATCCCATAAATAAATGTCTACATGAATGGGTGCTCCGAGCCATATGTAGCAGGTAAGTATCAAGTTTTAAAATATAATTAAGTCTTTGTTAAATAATTTATGGAAATTTAATGGTAGGGACTAAAATAATTTTTAATGAACAATTTTGGGACTAAAATAGAATATTTTAAAGTTAAAAGACTTTAAAGCATGCTATTTAAAAGTTTGTGATTATTATTATTATTGTTATTATTATCTTTTTTATTTTTTTTGGTCAAAAAGAAGGTACTTATCATATTAAGGAAGTCCAGCCACGTGGATAACAAATGAAGATTTATTCTCCTTTACAAAGCTTAGAAGCCAAATGGAAAAAAATCGCTAAATCATAAGAAGGAAATACAATACAAGATCGAAGATTTATTCTCCTCAACAAGGTTTAAAGGCCAAAGGAAAAATTGGTAAATCATAAGAAGGGAATACAAGATCGAAGGTGTTTGGGGTAAAAATACCTTGGACACGTGGAGGACGCTGACGGGTGTCCAAGGATTAGAATCCCAGGTCGAACCTGCCGAAGAGGTCGGGGTCACCCATTGGAAAAAGGCTAAGTATGCATGCCGAAGTTCGACCTGACTCGGGTTCGATCTGCTCGGAACCCGACAGGTCCGACATGAGAAAGAACATGTAACCGCCGGTCGTGAGCACTGTCGGATCCACCACCTGTAAATAGAGGGCCTTGTTTCACGCTCAGGTATCGAATCTCACCTCGAGCTAAATACGGAGTCCGACCTATACTGACTTGAGCGTCAGAGTGTTTACCCTCTTGTGCAGGTCCACTCTTGTGTTCAGGTCGAGCCGGGGACTGGGTTCGAGCTAAGTTCGTAAAGTATCATTGTGCAGACCTTTGCATAAACATTTGGCGCCGTCTGTGGGGAAGAACGATCTAAGTCATCCCGATTTAAAAGCGTGAACAAAAATGATTCAGCCAGCAAACTCAACCAACACGACC